AAAGCCAAAATCTAAGCTACAACTGCTTACATTCTTAGGGGATTATCTGAATTACAGTTTTTCCTCATATTTATAAATGTATTCTTTCTCCATATTCTGCTTCCCTCCACTTGTTCATCTTGAGGACCTTTTGTTGCTTGTCCGACTCTTGCGGGCCACCAGCCTATCTCCGTGTCCTGGCTCGGGTCAACCACGACTGCATCATCTCTTGACTCGACTGCCGGTCAGTCATGTGTGCTGGTCTTCCTCTTTCCCTGAGAAGCCAGAAGATGTTGACGTTGAGATCTCGAAGTTTCGATCAACCCTCCGCAAGCCTGGCTCCTCAGGTCGTTCTTCTGCCAACCATCCGAAGGGCCCACGAGGACCCATTAAGGCGGCATCAGCCACCACGAAGACGACATCAACTTGGCGGGCCGGCCATAAAGTCCATTCTCCCAACTTAGCTCCGGAACACAAGAAAAACCGTCGTCTGCCGGCTTTCCCGATTCGCTTCGGCAAAACGACCAGACACGATCCACCGAAAACCGATCTCAGTTATGATCTGCCTTCCGTTCGCTTCGGCGGTGGTGATGGCGACTGCAACTTCAGAAAAAGGGAGTCCAGAAAGAGTGGATTCGCTGCAGCCTCGGGGACAAAGTCGAGGTTGTGGCCTAGGCCTTGGCGGACTTTGCAGAAGCGTACCTCAAACCCAGTACGGGTGTTCAAGTCTCGGATATGCAATTACGCCAATTACGGCATAAAAAAGCGCAAAGGGAAGAGGGCTTCGTACATGCGGCTTCGCCAAATCAAATCAAGACATGGTGGTACCGCAGCTTTGGGAAGATCATCACTCTCACTTAACCGAAGCCAGGTTAGCTTGAGCAAGTGTTGATAGGATAAAACAGCAAGACAAACAAATGAAAAAAGCCTAGGCTTCAAAAATCCCTTTATGAAGTGTTATGATGCAAGTATTCATTTTGAATGAAAACATAGTTGCAAGGGCATTTGGAATTGGCTTGATCAGAAAGCAGAAAGGTATTTTTGCTAATTCTTTTATAAGAACTCACAAAGCCTAGGTCGCTCAGGGTGATTTAGGGTATGATAGTTGAGTCTTCCCATCTTTTGTTAAGTAGAAGTTCACTTGGTACTGCCTCCAAAAATTTATCCTATCCCTATTGGAGCGAATTGCCGTTTCTACCTACTCTCATCATCTTTCATCAGTACCCCCAACCGGATTCGAGCTTTGGCCGTTATTATCCTGGGGAGAAGTTAGCAATCCACTCCACAGGCATTAGTACAAGTAGATCAAAATGTTAAATGTAACATTTAAGTCAGGCCAGGCGCCACCCAAATCACGTTCATGATAGGATTGTTGAGTTTAATTCCATTTCGAGTGAAAATGATTGGTGAAGAGATTCGACGGTCGATTCCACCAGAGGACGACGGCCGATTCCTCTTGACCAGCTGTCGATTAGCTTTACTGGTACATTTATGTTGACGCTGTTTCAGAGGAAATCGCCTTCGATTGCGTGCAAAGCGTGCTAAGCTTTCGTTAGTCATATGACGAGCATCATCAGAACAAGGTATCATCTTCACAACCAAATTCAAGCTAACGAGTCAAGAAAGCTTTCTTCATCGCGGAATCGAACTTCGAATCTCTTCACCAAAGTGGAAGTAAACTCAACAAGTATGGAACAAGAGATCCATAGAACTCCAACTTTTCTTCGCATATGATACGATTGCTAATTAAGTAAATATGTGCTTGCCATAAAAATTGACAACACTACTTATTGTTGAAATGAGTAGTGAAAGGCTAAGTGAAATTTAATAACGTCGTTAGGCCTATTCATTCAATTGTGAAAATCACTCAACTATCGTCCTTTAAGCCGCCTCAAGCAACTAACTACGTGGACAAAAGAGGATTGCTTTGAAGTGGCGACTGGGGAATTGTCCAAAGAAGTCTTCGGTTTACCGTCCTGCGATACCAATCCATCCATCTGTCCTGCTACTATAGACATAGTCTCAGCTAAAAAGGATCATTAAAAGACGCTGATACATTAGATCAAGAAAGGTGGCAAAATGAACTCATACTCACTCTTAATAATAATATCATTTTACAATCCTTAATGAGATATCTCATTATTTGGTTGGCTACTTAATTCTTACCCTATAGGCATGAACGTGAGTGGAAATAGGACACAAGAGGATGTGATGTGGTGATATTATATGAACTTACCGAACCTATTGTTAATATAGACTTCAAATAGAATTGGCCATAACGCAATGTTTTATAGAATAAGCAAATTAAACACTTCTTATATCATAAGTAAGTCTCTATAAATAGCTAAAATAGCTGATATCTTAAGTAGGAGAAAGCAGTATAGAAAATTAAATGGGAACAAATATATGTAGCTGTGGAAAAGAG